ATTTGCCTTGGAATACAGTCGGTGCTTGAATAGAACAAGAAGGTTGCAGAAAATTGGACACATACATGGCATGATGATGATGATTTATCCATATATGGTGTGACAAATGGAAACGAAACATATGTTGTTAATCTAAAACAAGAGACACGCGCTTGTAGGAAATGGGATTTAATTTGAATTCCATGTTGTCATGCCATAAATTGCATATGGCAAAACAAGAAACAACTAGAAGAATATGTCTCAAAATATTATCGGTTTGTGTCATAAAGTGTGTATTGATTATTGTCATTCTATACATAAAGTGTGTATTGATTATTGTCATTCTTTGTGTAGGAAGACTACTTTCAAGAAGACATACTCACACATGATTTTCTCTACCAATGGGCCACAGTTGTTGCCTCTTGATGACCAGGTAGCAATCAACCTACCAGTGATGAGAAGGGCAATCGATCACCCCAAAAAGATGCGAAACAAAGTCAATAATGAGTCTAGAAACCCACATGTTCTTCCTAGAAAGCTGCCAAGTGTTACTTTCCATAAGTGTGGAGCAATGGGTCACAATAAGAGAAGTTGTAAGGGAAAGAGGGTTGCTGATAGGGCTATCCCAAAAGGTGGAAATACCAAGAAAGCAAATGGTGGAAATGCATCAAAAGTAGGAAATAACAAGAAGGCAAAGGGTGGAAATAACAAGAAGGCAAATGGTGGAAATAACAAGAAGAAGAAGAAGAATAGTACAAAGACAAATGCATCAGAAGTTGGAAGCTCATAACAAGCACCTTAGCCTACAAAACCATCTCAACAATAGTTTCAAGGAAGCCTAGTTATTTTGTTGTAATGGCCTATTGTGACAGTAGTTTGTTTCATGTTATGACATTAGTTATTTTGTTGTAATGGTCTGTTATGACAATAGTTTATTTCATGTAATGACATTAGTTATTTTGTTGTAATGGTCTATTATGACAATATTTTGTATCATGTTATGACATTAGTTATTTTGTTATAATGGTTAATTTGATGTAATTGCCTATAATGTCTTGATATGACAATGGTTATTTTGATGTTATGATCATGGTTATTATGTGCATATTGGCCTACAAAGTTGTTAAATGGCTTGTATCTTGCATATTGCACAATTAAATGTGTTGACACCAATAAAACAGGTTGCCATAAATGGCTTGAATATTTCAAAAAAATGGCTTGCACATTGCATATTAAATAGGATGTCAAAAAGGGCTTGCATATTATCATTACACAGGTTTACTGTAATGATAATAGCCAATGATAACAGTTGACACAAATTTGGAACAATATACAACCAATAGCCAATAATAAAAGTTGACACAAATTTGGAACAATATACAACCAATAGCCAATGATAACAGTGATACAAATTTGGAACAAAATTTTTTAATTCATAATTTATGGTTACATGGCTTATAACATGGTTGTTTCAAAACCTTATCAACTAAACAACAACACCACAACATGGTTGGTTCAAAAAATAAAGCACAATGGTAATTCCTAAATTACACTTGTATCAATTATTCCTATTAACAACACAATGATTATCCTAATTGTAAACTTCAACTGTATTTTCAGAAACTTGATATTCGTCGTTAATTCATCCTTTTTGTGCTTGCATTCATTGACCTTAATCTTCTCTAGACCTAACCTTTCATTCAATGAAGAAATCAACTATTTTTCTCCTGGAATCATCTCCTCATCATACCAAAGAAAATGACTGCACCTTTTGTGTCTCTGAAACTACAAAGAATGCAAAAGAAATAGAGTTTCAATGACTTTCGAATCAAATAGACAAAAAATTGAATGAGATGAATTACAGAACTTTAATACCTTATATATTCTACATCCATAGAAATGACATCTTTGGTTAGCATCAGTCCATGATGTCATCGATGGTGCATCTAGACCATACCTACATTCGTCACGGATGAAATTAAATTTGTTGCAATTGCTTCCTTGGGAATATCGGGACATGGTTGCAAATTGAGAACAATATGATGTAAATAATGGGGATCTGAGAATTTGTTAAGAACGAAAATATGATGATATAGGGGTTGAGGATGAGATGAGTGACGAAGGACATGAACACAAGTGACGAAGGAAAGGGAATGAACGTGATGATTTAGGGTTTTATGAGCAATTTAAGGTTTTAATTTGGTTTTATAAATATATTTTATTATTTAAATTATTAAAAAATATTTTAGAATTAAAATATTTAAGTTTTTAAGTTTTTAATTTTAATTAATGATGTGGCACTAACTATTGTGTGCCACATCAACTTTTTCAATTACCAGATAAACCAAAATGTGGAAGGACAAAAAAACTCAGTCAAAGTTGAATATGGGACCAAAAAGCTAAAAAATTATACAGAGGAACTAAAAAAAAAGTAAATAGGTGGACTAAGAATGCATTTAGTGGAAGATTAGGTGACTATAAGAGCATCTCCAACCGTGAACCCATTTTTGGTTCTTTGTGGGACCTATTAAGCCACGTCAGCTTGAAGCAACTCAACTAGTTTTTCACTCCAATGGTGCAACTCTGAAGAACTCATATTGGGTCCCACAATTTTACTTTATATATTAATATTTTATTCATATTAAATTTTATATCACTTAAAATAATAATTTTAATTATTTAAATTAAAATTGATATAAAATAAATAAAATTCAAATTAAACTTATAATTTAAAATGATAATTAAAATTAATCTCAAATACATGACATATAATTAAAAACAATAAAAATAAATAACATCACATAATTAATCAAACTTAAATTTCATCATATTCATGTCCAAAACTTTTCCAAATATAATCGACTAGATCTCCTTGAAGATGACGATGAACTTGTTTTTCACGAATACTTGCTCTTCTTTGTAGTCTTGTTGCAAGATTCGGATGAGGACCGCTAAATGTTTCAGTTGTTGAGTTGTTGTTATCCACATTATCATAAGAGTAATCAAAATTACCTCCATATGTATGTCGTTCGTCTTCCACAATCATGTTGTGCAATATGATGTAGGCATATATGGTATGTTTGAGGGTCTCCATGTGCCAGGCACGCGCTGGGCCACGTATAATTGCAAATCGAGATTAAAGCACTCCAAATGCCTGTTCCACATCTTTTCTAGCTGATTCTTGATGTTGAGCAAATAATTTTTTCTTTTCTCCCTGCGACATTGAAATGGTCTTGACAAATGTAGCCCACTTAGGATATATACCATCTGCTAAATAATACCTCATATCATATGGTGTCCCATCGATTGTATATTGCACATTAGGAGTATGTCCTTCCAAAATATTGTTAAATACGTTGGATTGGTTTAACACATTAATGTCATTGTTTGAACCTGCAATACCAAAAAAAGCATGCCAAATCCATAAGTCTTGTGATGCCATTGCTTCAAGCATGATTATGGGCTTACCATGATCACCTCGACAATACTGTCATTTCCATGCATCAGGATAATTTTTCCACTCTCAATGCATACAATCAATGGAACCCAACTTACCTAAAAAGCGACGTGACTCTCCCATTTGTAAAAGATGTTCAACATCAGTGTTGTTAGGCTTTCTCAAATACTTAGCCCCAAATACAACATTCACACCCTGAACGAATCTTTCTAAGCACTCAATTGAAGTGTTTTCACCGATTCGAACATTCATCTACAAGGTCAGCAGGAGACCCACACGCCAACATACGAATATCAGATGTACATTTCTGCAATGGTGAAAGACCCATTTTATCAGTTGCATCGATCCTCATTTAGAAATATTCGTCATGATTCCCAAGGGCATCTACAATTCGAAGAAATACATGCCTATGCATTCTGAACCTTCTTCGGAATTGAACATCTGTGTAAACTGGATTTTTCGAGAAGTAGTCATTGAATAATTGATTGTGCCCTTCTTCACGACTTCGATCTACCGCTGTTCTCTCTTTGGCCGTGAGGAACTTCCAGATTGACGTTCATTTTGAAGCTGTTGTTCTTCATCACTGTCGTCCATAAATTCTTCTTCAATCAACTCCAAAAATTCTTGATCGTAATTATCTGAATTGTCTGAATCCATTTTAGTAAGTAAATAATGAGAGAAAAATGAGAGAAGAATAATATGAGAATGAGAAAACAATGACATAAGTGGTAGTATATATAATGGTTTGGATAACAATTAGTTTGAATAACGACTAGTTTGTTATAATGGTTTGAATAACGGCTAGTTTGAATAACATAATATTTATTATAATTTAAAATGGTACTAATGACCATTTTACATAGGTGTTGATAAATTAAAGTGGTACTAATGACCATTTTACATAAATGTTGATAAATTAAAGTGGTACTAATGACCATTTTACATAAGTGTTGATAAATTAAAGTGGTACTAACGACCATTTTACATAAGTGATACTAACTACATTCCATATTTTTTTCATCTTATTATAATATTTTTCATGAATATCTCGTTGACTATCGCTCATAATATAAGTGTCTTTCATCATGATTTGCATTACCTTTAGTTCTATCTCGTCCTCCTTACATTGCGCTAGTCTTTCCATTGTCGTTGTTCTTTTATTCCTTGCATCTTGCGTCGCAGTTGGAATTTCATTTGCCTTACCCTTCCTTTTTGCTGCTTTTTGTCCCATTGGACGCTCCATTGGCGACGATGAGTTAAACTCATAACTCGAAGGTGTGTCTGGGTTCTCCCATGATGCCCCACTAGCAGAAGTCTTTGTTATTTTTGAAGAACTTCCAATCGATTCTCCCATCCATTTAGGTTCATCTTTTAACAATCACCATGCGTACTCAAGATTGAATGTTGTATCTTGATCCTGAGCAAAAAAAGCATGTGCAGCAGCCATGATATCGTTCTCCGATGTCCCACTTTTCTTTCCATTAACAACTTATTTGTAACATCCAACAAATTTTTGAACCAAGCCATTTATTCGATGCCATCGACATTTTAATTGTCCCCCTAACTATTCCCGCTCTTGCCCACGATACTGGTTATAATTGGTAGCGATTCTTAATAAAAAAACTCTCAGTCTTTTGATCAACTCCCACAATTGGATCCTTTGAAACATTGAGCCATGATTGGATAAGTTGTATATCCTCATCCCTTGTAAATTGCTCTCGAGATTTTTTTTAACGACAAACCTCTCTTCTTTTTCAGTACCAACTTGAGTAGAAAATGGTGGAACTTGAGTAGAAAATTTCATACTATTAGAATTCATTCCAGGTCTAAGATACATATTTGGATTGTTTGGTGACGGAAAAAATATGGCGGAGTTTGTTGGTACCGATGGAATTTGAGAATTTTGAGGATTAGGATTTTGATAATTTTGCATGTAATTGAACATAACTTGTTGATAATGAAAATGATTAGGATCCATTTGACCTAAACAATTGTAATTTGAAATAAAAAGATGAAAATTTGGGTTAAATATTTTGTCAAAAGAAGGCTAATGAGAAGAAATTGTTGGAAAAAATTAAAAGTTTATGAATAAAATGATGAAATTGTGAGAGAAAATTTGAAATTGAAGAGAAAATTGTGTTGGTAAATTTTTTTCTAAAAACTATATTTATAATAAAAAATAAGTTGAAAAAAAATAGCCGTTGAACGACTAGTTTTAATATTTTAATATAAAAAATTGATGAAGTGTTGTTGCATAATTTTAATCCGTTGAACAGTTGTAGCAATGCTTTGGTCAAAAAGTTGGTTGTCACGCTGGCAAACCATGATGAAAAATCTCGGGTGGAGGTGGTCTAAGTTATTTATGTTAATTAATTTTTATGTTAACTAAGGGGTTCATCAATAAAATTGTTTTTGTTTTAAATTGTTTATGTTAATTAATCTTTAGTTAGATAGTGATAATAAATATTATACTAAATTATAATTTTAATTCTCTATTTTGACTAATTTACGAGACAACCCCCTATTTATTTTTGGCATAATGCTTTTTTGTTTCGTATGTTAACTCCGAAATTCATTTTGCTCTCTTAACTTAATAAATTTTCATATTGGTTTCTTAAATTAAAAAATGTACATATTTCCTTTAAAAAAAATACTGATGTATCATTTTTTTCGTACGTGGCACTTTTTTATAATTTTTTACCGGTCATTTTTATATTATTAATAGTAATTATTTGTTTTTCGTTAATCCTTAAAGGAAAAAAATGAACAAAACATTCTTCTTCCTTCTCTATTTTCGTCATCTTCTTCCATAAATATAAAATATACCTTTGATAATACCATATTACTACGGTCATTTAAACAATCGTAGTAATAACTCATTTTCGCATGGCTGAATTTTTTATTATTTTATTGAAATACATTTCATCATGGTCCTTAATAACAACTGTTGTAATAAATGAAAGATTACTACTTCGATTCCCAATACTAACAATTTTTTATATTTTTTGTTACAAAAAGAGTTTGTCCTTATAGTCTTATAAATATATCGTACAAAATAGATGTCACTCTCAAAACAAAACTGTAACATCTCTCTCTCTCTTCCACATGTAGCGAACTCATCCTCATAAGCTTATTCATACTTAAAGATAGTCAAATTCATACGCTTTATCATTCTTCTTCTTTTTCATAAGCTTTCTTTCATGTTATTCATACGATTTCTTCCATTTTCTGTGTATAATTTCTTCCATATATCTTTGTTTCTTATACTCTTTTTTCTTTATTATTCCACTTTCACCTGACATGATTTTTCGTGTTTTTTGGATTATCTCAATTACCATATTTGTTCAATGTGTTGCTATGGAGAAACAATACAAGAAGAAGGTCTTCATTTTTCACTAATCTTTTTAATAAAAGGAACGTTCGTGAAATATTCTATGAGTTCATATGTTGTTGTGGTTTTGTTGATAAATGTTGTTGTATGTTGTTATTGTTGATAAATGTTTCTTAAAACAAGAACAAAACATTGTTAAGTCACAAAGTATGAGTGTTGTTCACAAATGGTTTGTGTTGCTATGGATAAAAAAAAAGAAAGAATGAAGCTATTTTCGAAACTTCATCCACCTTATATTTTTCCTTCATAGCAACACAAAGTAGAACAACTTCAGTTCATTATGAGACAAGTAGATCATTTCTACTTCTTCACTTTTCATGTATCTTTTCAATAAAAGGTACATTCGTGAAACATTTAATGAGTTAATATATTGTTGTATGTTATTGTTGTTTTGTTGATAATTTTTTATAAATATTGTTATATGTTGTTGTTGTTGGTAAATGTTTCTTAGAACAAGAACAAAACATTGCTAAGTCACAAGAAAAAGACCTTCTTGCGACTTAGCAATGTTTTATTTTTGTGAATCTTGCATCATTAATTTCTTATGCAGATTGACAGTAGATCTCGTTGAGTTTATTATATGGTATGTATATTTTTGTTTCATTAACCCTTCATTGAAAATACATTCATTTAAATTGATTTAGAAAATAATAATCTTAAAAATTAACTTATATTTGAAAATTAACTTAGATCAATCAATGTTTTTCAAATTACATGTATCTCATAATTCATTTCTCACTCTTTTAACATATATGACATAGTTCAACGACCTAAGCTCTTCATAACATCGATTTCGTCTCTTCTAGTTTATTTTGAAAGCATTAATTCATTGACTAATTCTGACTCATCAATGTCACTACCATCATACACTATTATTTTAAATGATGATGATTATTATTATGATGGAAGTGATGATGATGAATCCAAATTAGTCAACAAATCGATGTTTTTCAAAATAAACAAGAAGAGAAGGAATTGTTTCTATGAAGAACTTAGGTCATTGAACCAAATTCTATATGTTAAAGAGCAAAAGATGAGTTATAAGATGTATGAAATTTGAAAACGGTGGTTCGATTAAGATGTTTTTCAAGAATAATTTAATTTATCAAATTATTATCTTCTACATTAGTTTGAATGGTTGTATTTGTTTAGTGAGGTGTAGGGAAAAATAACCAATCCATATATATTTTACAATAAACTCATGCATACATACCACAATAGTTATCTTTCATAACCATGGTGAAATATTAATTTTATTCAATTTAAATTGCAGCTGCTAGATTTCGAACCAATGACCTAAATATGTATAACAACGGTTGTTTAAGATACTCGTTATGATATGTAGCGCGCTGCCTAGTTTATCACCACAGTCGTATGTCTGTGGTGGAAAGCAGCATATACACTGTTGTGAATCGGATACCTTTAAACAAAGTATAAACAGTTTCTTAATGATCAAGAAACTCACAAAGGTTAGGGTTAACAAAGAAAACAAGGTAAAACAACAAGGAACAACAAGGATTGGTTATTAAACTGCTATTCTTTCCTTTCTCTTAGAACAAGATTACAAGTATACAAGAATAACAAAATAACCTCTCTCCCTTGAAATTAGGATTTTATCTTCCTATTTTTCCTTATTCTCAAGATTGAGAAACTAGCATCCTATTTATAATAAAATAGCACACTAACCTAATGGGCTTTTTAACAATTACCCATTACAAGCTAACTTAGGGTACAAGCTAACTTAAACAATTGGGCTTACAAGTAAGACCCAATTCAACATGCTAACAACCCTAGCAATATTTACTCATGCTAACAACCTTAGCAATATTTACTCATGCTAACAACCTTAGCAATATTTACTCATGCTAACAACCTTAGCAATATTTACTCATGCTAACAACCTTAGCAATATTTACTCATGCATGTTAGAATAAACTTCAACTACAACACGCATTACTTGCGAACAGACTTCGACCACACTAGAGTTCGATCCAATGTCTCACAAATCTCCACCTTGGATCTAACTCTATAACATCAAGAAACTAGCTTTCTTCATGCAGATTTATTAACTGCATACAGTGGAAAAACTTGCAACTGGGCAATGTCTTGGTGATCATATCAGCAGCATTATGATCTGTCGAAACTTTCAGCACTTGGACTTCTCCACGCTCGATTACCCCTCTGATGAAATGCAGCCTCACATCAATGTGCTTGGTTCGCTCATGATAGGCTGAATTCTTCGACAAATGTATTGCACTTTGACTATCACATTTAACAGTGATAACTCGACCTTGAAGTTTTAGCTCCTTTGCAAAACCTTTAAGCCACACTGCTTCCTTCACAGCTTCAGTTAGAGCAATATACTCCGCTTCAGTGGTTGATAAGGCAACGACCTTCTGAAGTGTTGCTTTCCAACTGATTGCTGTCCCAAACATAGTGAACACATATCCGGAGATAGATTTTCTAGAATCCATACAACCTGCATAATCAGAGTCGACATATCCTTCGATTACTGCTTTACTATCTTCACCCAAGGCTCCACCATAAATTAGGACTCTATTCAGAGACCCATTTATGTACCTTAAAATACACTTCAATGCTTGCCAGTGAGCCTTTCCAGGATTCGCCATGTACCTGCTTACAAGACTTACTGCATATGCTATGTCGGGTCTAGTACAGACCATAGCATACATCAAAGACCAATTTGTCTTCTTTTGATTCCTATTAACTTCCTTATAGTCTCTAGGTTCTTCGTATAGAACCTCACTTGCAGAGATTAAGGCATAAGCTATAAGATCTGCATACCCAAGTCTCTGAGGTGGCTTGATGACTCTCCTCGATCTGTCTCTTGCTAGCAGGTAGTCATTATCAGTCTCCTCATCTTCGACAACATCTTCTGTGTCTTCTTCGACTTCATCTGGGGTAAGCAATTCAGCGTCAACATGCTCCACCTCAACAGGAATCTCTCCCTGTTCCAGCTCTTCGTCAACATCATCAGTTTTCTTGAAAGCCATCTCTGCTTCGTTGAAAACTACATCTCGAATGGTGATACACCTTCTGTGACCTGGCTCTAGGCACCATAGCCTATAAGCTTTGACTCCTTCAGGGTATCCCATGAACATGCACTTCAGAGCTCTAGGTTCGACCTTGTCTTGCCTAATATGAGCATAGGCCACACAGCCAAATACTCTCAGTCTGTCGAGACTAGGTGGCTGTCCCGACCAAAATTCTTCAGGTGTCTTCATTCCCAAGGCAGTCGAGGGACATCTATTTATCAGGTAAGCTGCTTTCAAAACAGCTTCCGCCCAAAACACCTTCTTCAATCCAGCACTAACCAACATGCATCTAACCCTTTCAAGGATTGTTCGATTGAATCTCTCAGCTAAGCCATTTTGTTGGGGAGTACCTGCTACAGTCTTATGCCTTGCAATCCCAGACCCAACATAGTAACTGTCGAAAGCTTCGTTGTAGAATTCAAGGCCATTGTCGGTTCTCAACCTCTTAACCTTTCTTCCAGTCTGAGTTTCGACTAGAATCTTCCAACTTTTGAAATTCTCAAAAGTTTCATCCTTCGTCTTCTGAATGAA